TCAAATCAATGACAAATTTTACAAATTTTGATAATTAAGAAAAAAAAAAAAAGAGGGTGAATTACACTAACAGTCCATAATTTGGGACTATATCACTTTGATCATTGACTTTTCAATTGTAATACATTTAATCTTGAATTTCAAATCTTGTTTCCAATAAGAACAATCTGTCGCGCCCCAAAAAAATATAATACAAATAACCCAACTCATTAGGGGAATGAATATAACAGAATTCGTATATTTTCATATATCAGAGTTCGTATTACAAAAGATGTTACATGCATCATACATTCATAAATGTTCATCCTGAATCTACAACATGTAACACTGGCTAATAATAACAAAATAAATACCCTACGGGCTTACATCTTTCTAAGACATTACTTGGTTACAACCAAAAAGAGTCATAAGCTCAATGGATGTAAAGCCCTTGGCTTGAATAAACATTTAAGCATTTACAAAACAAAATAGAGCCTCCAGCTCCGAGGTCCTCCCAAGCTACGTCCTTGGAGGAAGTATGTCACCGGTACCTGAAAGTGGTTTCCCAATTAGGGTGAGCCAAAACCCAGTAGAAACAGTCTATCACAATAAATAAGGTTTAACTAAGCAATAAGTGTCAGACAAACGTTCAGTATTCATGGCCAAATTACATTCTTCCCACAACCATTCAGAACGGATATTCACATCGCATTCCATTTCCATTTATTCATTTTATATCAATTCATTTCATTCAAGTCATATATCAAATATATAACTTTCCAAATAACCCAACTGAGACTACAACTCAGTGCTTCAATCACATAGCTATCATACAAGCACTTCAACCTTGCCATTTTACGGCAATTTCGTCCGCAGGATCGGCACCCATTTATACATAAGATTTCGAGACTTTCACCCTAGACACTCTGGCCAACATAATTCTTAATGGAGTCCATCCCTTATCTCCTCCCAAACAATGGAGTACATCTCCTTTCTCCTTCCAAAATGTTATACATATACAATGTATTCAAAAACATTGTCATATTCAATGACTATCAATTATGCATATTCAATGCCTTATCATACTGTCATATTCAATGATACAATTTAAGTGATTAGTTTCAATTCACCTAATCCTCATGCAATTTCTACAACAATCATAACTATCCGCCACCGATAGTCCAATTCAATGATACAATTTAAATGATTAGTTTCAATTCACCTAATCCTCATGCAATTTCTACAACAATCATAACTATCCGCCACCGATAGTCCAATACAGATATACAATCTTTATAACATGTAATTTATCAAATTTCCATAGGCGAGTGATTTAATAGATCCAACTACAACATTCATTCACACATTCTCCTAATTTCACATTTCTCATACCAATCCCATTATTTATACAAAATAATTATTTAACACATATTAAGGCAAATTTTTTCCTTTTTCAAATATCAATCCAAAGGTTAAAATCTACCATTCTAATCCAAGATAACCCCATATTCATCTATAGACCACAAAATAGAAATCCCTCTTTTCAATTTGAATCCAAACCCTAGGTTTTCTCCAAACATCCCAAAGTTCACCATGTATACATAACAACAAATAACTAGGTTAAAAATCATAACAAAGTGTAGAATATCCCTACCTCAAAGAGTGAAGTCGAACCAAGCAACAGTGAAACGTCGAGAACACCAAAACCCACATCTATTCAGATCAAAATGAAGATCTTGAAGTGCTCTACCTTTTTCTCAAAGGCACTAGGGTGAAAATCCCAACGGATCTAAATGAAATCTTAGAGAGTATGTGAGTTTTAGAGAGAGAAAGTCTTGATCTATGTTTTTGGGGAGTTTGACAAAGAGAGAGAGAGAAAGAGAAGAAAAAGTAATACCAAAACATCTTTTTCTCGGACTAATATATACGTAGTCTGCTCAAGCGTGGAAAGTGATGCTCGAGCGTCAGAAACAAGGTCCTGCTCGAGCGTGAAAAATGGCACTCGAGCGTAGGATACGCTCTATCAGAAGTTTTGCAGATGAAGGACCTCGCTTGAGCGTGAGAATGGATGCTCGAGCGTCTAATGCATTCTCCCAGTATTTGCAGACCTGCAAAAATACTGAGAAGTGACAAATCCCGCTCGAGCACAAGAATGGCCGCTCGAGCGTAGGAACAAAATTTGTGAAGCCCGCTCGAGCGCAAGAATGCCTACTCGAGAGTAAGAGCCAAAATCTGGGCACAAGGTTTTGGAAAAACAAGCAACCAACCTGTTCCAAACACACAACCACAACCCGATAACCAAAAATAAAGGGGAAAACAAGGGAAACAAGATATGAATAACCATTCTAAACCATACCAACCCGAGTCCGAAACACAAGAAGTGACGGTTCAAAACCGGAATCGCTATAACCTTCCCCTTTTAAAGAATTTCGTCCCCGAAATTACAAATCAAGTCCAAAATCAAAATTAAGCATTCACAACAACGTTATTCTCACAAGTTCAATACAATGACCCATCCTCCGATCATTTATTCTTATCGACTCGATATACAAGTCCCATATTAAAATGAAATTTACAATTTCGGAAAACATTTGCAATGTTTAAACCAAGGTTCAAGTTCTCAAAATTTTACATAGCATATACAATGCTTTCAAAATGATATAATACACATGATACTCCATATTCTTAAACATATGCAATGTTTATAATAAACTCATGTTTCCAAGATGTAAACAACATATACAATGCTCTCATAATTTAAACATATACAATGCTTATATTCCTCATCATCATAATCAAAATCTCAATACATGTTTAGATATCAACAAACAAGTCCGAATATTTCTCTCGGACTTCCAATTCACGCTCTCAAGTCGCTTCCTCGACCCCATGATGTTTTCACAATACTTTAACCTAAGGAATTGTCTTGCCTCGCAAGACTTGGTCCCGTCTATCCAAGACTCTCACCGGTCTCTCTTCATACGAAACATCCTCATCTACCTCCAAGTTGGTCCAATCCAATACGTGCGATGGATCCGGCTCATACTTCCGAAGCATACTAATATGAAACACGTCATGCACTTCGGAAAGTGGTGGCGGTAACGCCAAACGATAAGCAACCTCTTCAATCTGTTCAAGGATGTCAAATGGCCCAATAAATCGAGGGAATAACTTCTCACTCTTCCCGAATCTCATCAAACCCCACCTAGGTGATATCTTCAGGATCACATGGTCTCCCACCTCAAAAGACAAGGGCCTCCTCCTACAGTCAGCATAACTTTTCTGGCGACTCTGAGCCGTAAACCAACCTCTTACAGATAAGTGCCACTTTCTCTGTCGTTTCCCGAACCAACTTTGGGCCCAACAAAGGTGCATCACCCACTTCGGCCCAACACATAGGAGATCTACATGGTCGTCCATACAAGGCCTCAAATGGTGCCATGCCAATTCTCGATTGGAACCTATTGTTATAGGCAAACTCCACTGAGGGCAAATGCCTCTCTCACGACCCTTTAAAATCAAGCACACACCCTCGAAGCATATCCTCAAGGATCTAAATAGTATGCTCGGACTGCCCGTTAGTCTGAGGATGATACGCAGTACTATAAAAAAAGAGGAAGAAACACTATATATATATACACTATCATATTGATATGACTTTTTTAGAGGAAAAAAAAAAAAAAACTCTTTAGAATATGCCACATAAAAAAGGAAAAAACACTACTTATATATCTATTTATACTATCATACTATGTGAGGCCTAAAGTTTATCTCTTGAAACTCTTGCCACGTGTAAATTGAATATAAAAAAAAAGAGAGAAACTTTTCCTCTACACTTACACACACATTCTTCATAGTAGTTTCACTGTCGTAACAATTTCAAATTTTAAAAATCAAATTTATAAGTTTAATTTCAAATTTGAATAATAATATGTGTGGACGCGCCCTCGGGCTTTATGCCACCGCAGTTCGGACTCCCTTTTTGTGTCACGATTCTTAGTCTAAACCAAAGAGTCCAAATCCGGCAAATCGTTTTGAGAAAACAGATTTTTAGAAAAGAAGTGCCAAACATGGACTGCTTTGCCAGATACAGAGTCGCCACCTAAATATTTTATTTTGGGAGAATTTAGGAAACCCTGACTCGTTTGCCTAAGGCCACGTGTCTGTCATTACCAAAGTTGCCTCGGCTTGGGAACTTGGGTACGATTGGGGAAGGTTAGCTATGAGCACCCCCTCTCGCCCGATCCGAAGATCGGCCTCTACTAACCATGATATCCAATTTTGAAAACGTTACGTATTCTTATTCCGGTTAATTAGCTAAAATTACTATGTGATGCACAGAGCAAAACAAGTATAGACTAGATCGCCTAATTTGGAACAAAGCATCGCATATCCGTTTGTTTGGAAAATGTTTTGAAATTTGCTACTCACGAGTAGGCTAAACCACGGATTTTGATAAGTTGTTCCAACTCAAGCAATCCAACCTTCACCCACAGGCATTCAGGCAGTTCATATCACATAAGCATCTAGCCACATGGCAAGCATGCTATCATGTTAACATTCACACTCGTGCGAGATGCTAAAGCACAAAATACTTACAGTGTACTCCAAGCCAAAACAAAGAACTCGTTAGCAATCAATGTATGATCCAAGTCCATGTTAAGTGCCTAATGCAACGCATACAGAATGCAATTAGGATAGGCTCGGCTAATCCTAGGATGGCATGTGAAATGCAACTATTTGATGCACATATTCAAGTTAGATTTGGAATACTATGCAGTTAGTATGATGCGCCGAGCCCGATGTATGCAATACTGATGAATGATGCACGCATGCATAGCATAAGGATGCTAAATTAAATATGCCCTAGTACTAACCATCAAAGCAGGTAAGTAAAAGGGAGAAACAAGTGGGGGTTGGAAGACATGCATACACGCACCCACACTTATTACAAATTTGCCCTCGCTCGGAGGGACCGAAAGAATAATACAGATTTAACTAACCTACAAGCTAATTAAATATTACAAACCCTGACCATCTTTCAAGACCCCTCTGTGAACTGTTCCATACCCACCGTCTGCTATGAAATTAATATCTGAGAACCCATCTGTAGCTTCCTGCAGTTCTTTGAAATCAAACCGTCTTGGAGGTTTTCCAAAAACTGGTGCCTTATGTTGACATAGTGAGCACAATGGAGGAGGTATTGAGCAAGTTCTGCTTAACGAGACTGCTTGTCTGACGGTTGAGTTGAAAATGTACTCTCTTTCGGGAGTTTGGTTGAGCCCAGGTTCTACCATGTCCTGATTAAACTGTGTAAATGTATCAAGTAGAGTTCTGGTACTGGGAGCTTTGATTTTGTGAGTATTTCTGTAGTTTCTGCTTGCTGGGGCCTTCTCATCAATAGCGTGATTTTGGGGAATCCATAACACAGTCTTATGATTACTAGTTACAGATGATTTTGGTCTTCTTGAGAGAGTAACTACCCTTTCCCTGTCCATGTCAAGTTCTGTAAGTGGATCATTCAAGTTATTTTGTTTATTACTTGGGCTATACTTTCCCTTGTTAGGTCCTTCAAAAAGTGGATTTTGTTCATAGACAAGGAAATGAGACGCCACTGTGTCAGGGCTGGATAATGAATTTTCTTCTGTTGTTCTTGTGTAAGAAGTGCTTGGTTCTTCAGGGCTGCTCACAGGAGTAGAATGCTTCATGTTGTGCCGCTGCAACTTTCCAACATCCAAATCAGGTGAAGAAGCAGCAGAATAGAAGGGGGTTTGGAGTTCATCTGAGGATCCTAGATTCAGCCTAAGAACTTTTGGTTGAGAACCTTTCATTACTACAATGTTACAGTGAAGTTCCTCCAAGCAATGCTTTTCATACTATTATAGTGCATGAAATTTCGCT